ATAACAGTCAGCAAAACTTCAGTAAAAAATCGAATCATAATTGCAATATCTGGCAGAAAAATTGCAAATACATTTTTAGCCCAAATCGTTCAGCCCTGCTTGTCACATCCTTCAGCTCTGGTACCAACGCACATGGCACCCTTTCACGTCATAGGTCACAGGAGTATAAATCAAGCACTGGGCCCTTTAGCACTGAAACTGAACAATAAGTGAAATGTCCGAGAAGGTGGAGGTGGTTGTGGTGGCTAGGTGGGCCAAAATCCAGGCTGAAACAAAAAGTCAACATTGATTCCTTTTAATGATATTAACTTAACTTACGTAATTTAAGTCACGTAAGTAACATATAGTAGCTTATTAGTTACATAGTTATATTAACCCAAACCATGATCTTTACCCAAAGCTAACCAAGTAGTTTGGTTGCCTAAAGCCTAACCAAACTTTTGCATTTTACAACTGTACAAGTCAACCACGTGCTGTTTTACAACGTTAGCCACTAGTTTTATTTTGAAAGTATAGCCGGACGTTGCATAGTTATTCATGCAAAGTTATACGTTAAAAAGCATCAATAGGCTATGATGCCCTGGGATGAGAAGGGCTTTATTTAAAATATCATTTAAAATGATATGATGTTAGATATTAATTGCCTAAGTGATGCAATTATTTAGGCCTACTTTGTAATTTTATATATTTTTTTATTTAGTTCAATGTTATGCATTGACACTGACAATGAAGGGTCCTTCTTGTTGATCAGTGTCAAATCCTACGTTTCATTACATCCACTTTGATTCAGAGAGGTAAAACAATAAAACGTCCAAAGGGGTGAATATTTTGAATACTAATGAGCCAACTGTGTATTATAATGAGGCAACATGTTGATGCATGTTAATTTTTTTTTTCTGAGAGTTGGTGTCCCTTACTGTGATCACAGACAAGAGGTTCCCCACACCTTTATTTACCACCACCACAGGTGTTACTGGTAAGCAGAGCATGCTGACAAATGAAGCAGTTACCAGGTGAAGGACGTCGCTGGCCATCTTCACCAGGAAGCCATGCAGAGCTCCTGAGTATATCCGCATGACCTCAAGCATGTAGCCTCTTCTCTCTGCTTTGTTTCTCAGTCTCCTGATGGTCCTATGCACGTGAGACTCGTGCGTTCCCTGGCGCAGTACGACCAGGTACTGACCGGGCATGCGCCACGCTGCCTGGATCACAGCACAGATAACATGAGAGTGTAGTTAATTTGTCTCAATGCAGGTACAGGAGAAATAAGGCATGCTTGCAAAATGTTTTTTTGCTTTTAAATGTCACTCAATACTTTTTAATGGTTAGTTATTTTCTGCACCTTTACAGATCAGCGTTGTCCTGATCATATTGCATAAATGTGGGGTTTCCAGATTGTGAGCGCACATTTAAATGGAAGTTAATCCACAACCTCTATGAATATCTAGCTTTCATTTCGCAGAATCAGTCAATCAGCAAAGCCCTTTTAAAATCCTGCAAAGCGTCAAGGTTAAAAAAACAAAGACATTACTTATAATTACAGACCTAATGGCTTATTAGGCTATAAGTTAAAAAAATCATTTATTAATAAAAACTGAAATTTGTACTACATTAATTTCTACGCAATGAGATAATGAAGACTTGTGAGGTACACAAATTCAGGCATCAGCCTGTTGGCATTCTGACCAATGGTGGAAAGTGTGCATTTAGGCAAGTAGGCTAAGTAAGGAAAATTTCGATGAAGGAGATGATGAAGTATAATTTGATTCTAATACATTTGTACTTTTACTTAGGCTATGTTAAATTTTGAATGCAGGAAAACGAGTATTTGCACACTGTGGTACTGCTACTTTTAGGCTACTTATTTTACTTCTTCCACCACTGCCCATGACACAGTGGTTATTACCTTGTTGCACCTGAGGAACTCAGCAGCGGGCTCGGCTCCGGTTTCAGGTTGAGTCCCGTACTCGCGGATCAGATCCAGGATCATCTTGTCGTTCTCGGGGTAGTCCTGTGCGCTCACGGTCAAAGATGCGCACAAACACAGCGCCCAGCCAATATAGCCAGAGGTGCGACGCATTCTTCAAACCACTGGGAAAGCTTCCAGTGAAATTAAGAATAACTATTAAACTACACAAATTAACTAATGACAGTTGTTATTGTATTGGTTATCCAGATGTTTTGGTGTCTCCGACAGCCGCGCGCTCCGTGTGTCTAGCTATCAGATAACGCCTCCAAACATAACCACCATTCAGATTTCAGAAGAAAAAAATAATCGGACAATTGATTCTTATAATCCAAGGCGGGGACTGCTGACGTCTCCGGGGCTCACGCCACCGCTTTTGTATCGAATGATTCTCCTCCGTTAAAACACCTCTTACTGTAGAGGAGTCATGTTTCATGCTCCCACCGAACCACCCTGCAATTATTTCATGTCAATCCGAGAAAACGCGTCCTCTCAGTCCAAGTTCTTTCGTTGATACTGTTTTAACATGTGCACTTAATGTGGACACTGAGTTATGCATGAAAGTGCAAGAAAGCTACTTATTTATGTCTGAACTGATGCTGCTTGATTGTGTGCAGAGTGGATAACCAGTCAGCTATTAGGCCTATTTGTCATTTATTTTTATTGTTTATTTAATTTTTGGTCACTTCTGTTTAAACTCTGCTGTGATTACTTTAGAGGTGCAGAGCTGCCTGCAAAACTTTCTCTTTGTATCTCTCTATGTCTACCAAACTCCAGTGTCTTCTGTGGCCCTTCAGGAGCTTTGTCAAGTCTTGAGACAAAGCTCCTAACCACACACCAAAAGTGAAAATGTGATATTGATATTGTACAGAACAAGGACATTATTTTCAATGGCGCGGGCAGATGAGTGAGCCATAGCAACAATGTTCTGCCAGATTTTGCAGCAAAAGTTCAACTAAATAGAATTTTGATCCCAAATATGTATTCTAACCGCTACAGTGCACACCTGGCATTGACAAGAAGTGGAGTTATCACTGTGGTTAGAATATTTTACATTAATATTATGATTGTTTACATTCTGACATTACATTTTCTCTCTCTCTCTCTCAACCAAGTATCCCCCACTGGCTACAATTAAATCTGCAAACCCCACCCCTCCCATCGTGGAGGCAGCCTCGCCGTTATTTACAATCAGAACTTCCCCATCACTGAACTCACCCTCCCCTCAGTATCTTCATTTGAATATCTCGCCTTCAAAGCTCTTTCCTCCATGACAGTTATCCTCACCTACCGGCCACCTAAACCAAACCCTTCCTTCCGCTCTGATTTTACAGAACTCCTCACACTAGCCTCATCTCTCTCTTCACGTCTGCTGCTGCTCGGTGACTTAAACATCCATATAGACTCCCCCATCTGCAAGCTGTCATCAGAATTCACCATTTTACTGGACAACTTCACTCTCATCCAACATGTCACATTCCCCACCCATGACAAAGGACACGTCCTTGACCTGGTCTGCTCCACTAACATACCAGTGCTCAACCTCCATCCATGCTTCTTTCCCCTCTCTGATCACAAACTGATACAGTTCACCATTCCTTCTCCAACCGCACGCCAACTGGTCCAGAACTCATCACCCGCTCCAAATCCTGGCACCACATCACTCCAGTCCTAAAACAATGGCTTCCCATTTCTCACCGGATCACATACAAAATCCTGGTCCTTACCTACAAAGCCATTCACCACCTGGCCCCTTCATACCTCACTGTCCTCCTCTCCCCCTACCAACCCTCACGGTCCCTCAGATCCACCTCAGCCGGTCTCCTCTGTGTCCCCAACTCCAAGCTCTGCAGTTTTGGGGACAGAGCCTTTTCCAGGGCAGCTCCCAGGCTCTGGAACTCCCTCCCCCATGAGATCCGCACCTCTGAGTCCCTCACCATTTTCCGTTTTAAGACCCATCTCTTCACCTCTGCCTATCTATAGCCGTTTGTTGTCATGCTTCTTTGCCTGCTGTTTAAAGCGACTTTGAGTTCGAGAAAAGCGCTATACAAATTCAATTTATTATTATTATTAATATAGTCTAAAAGCATTAGCTGTTTTGGGTTATGTGCTGGTACCATAGACTGTATAAAGGCTGCTAGACACTACCTCACACAACCTATTTGCCTTTAAAATACCTGATGATTTTGGCCACTTGGGGGTAGCAGAAACAAGCTATAAACACAACACTGGCATCCTTATAAAGTTTTTATTAATAAGGTGTTTGCAAACAGTTGCTTATTTACACTTCCAGCAGTTATCATTATCACATTATCATTTACTTGGAGTCGTGTCTATGGTCACCTGATGAATGCAAGTCTCTTTAAGCTCTTTTCCTCTGTAGTGTCATCCCTATTAGCCTTTCTGAATGTCACATTGTTTTCACATCGTCATGATACATTGTTAAAATAAATTATTGCTTGTAGCCGCTTTAAAGTGAAGACTACAAATTTATAACAGGCATTCATTACAACTGGCACCATTAAAGCTACTCTGTGGAGTTTTTGACCACTAGGAGTGCTATTGAGCAATGTTTTTATGAGTGTGCCTCTGGTTTGTATTGAAGGTGCACACACATTCCTGACGCCAGTTACACGCTATTACGCAAACAGTTGGTAGCAGTAACACACCAGACAGTTAACCATCACATAGAAATGCGGCTCTACAAATATTTTACGAGGAAGGAAATGCTTGGGAGTGCATTTTGGTGAGTTACAAACACTCAATGTAAATAGCTTTTGGTAGCTTTCTAAATATTAAAAGTGAAGTAGTAGCTTTTTGGCATTTGTAGGATCAATCAACTTTGCTGCATACTAGAGACAAAAGTTTAGGATATCTGCTGCGCTGATTTTGACCATTTTCTTTTTCTGAGACCCCCAACTATGCAACTTTAATCATATAATGTAGGTCATTGCAGTGTCACTCACTGTCCCCCAGGTGACTAAACCTGCATACTCTCTCTTGTATTGTATATAGTGTCATCTTCTGGTACTACTGAACAATACACATTCAACTTTATTAACTTCACACTGAGAAGACGTGATGCATGTTAAACTGAAAAAATACATATTCAAACAGCAGCTTGTGTGAGTGATGCTGTCATTTAGAAAAAGGTCACAAAAATGCACCAGAGCATCTCTTCACTGTCTTGAGAGCAGCGTGTTTTGGTTAGACCGACGAAGAGTCCTCTGATGATGGCGTCCCTCCCTCAGACCAGGTGCAGTGTGGGGCAGCTGTGACACTGGCTCCTCAGGGCTTCGGGAAGAAGTCTGCTGCAACTCAACTTTTGGCCACAGGAACCTGGCAGAGCCTCAGCATGCCTAACATTAAATCAGAAGTGGGGGAGGAGGTGGAGAGACAGAAATAGAAGTCTAGTTGCAGCATTTTGTCCTCATTTTCTTACTTTCTTTAATCAGAGGGAGGGTTTGCTGAGCCTGCATGTCTTTATCTGGCTGTTGAATATTCCCGTGACTACAGACGCTCACACGCTGGAGCTGCGCCGTACGATTTAATTTTCTACCCGCTGGCCACACTACTGAGGCTCAAGCGCTTTAATCAAGTAAGTAACGCTCCCCCTTCCCTTAACTAACAAGGACCATTAATGATTGGCCCTTGTTAGTTAAGGGAAGAGAAAGTGTTACTCATTCACTCTCTCCGCCTTTATGTTTCCCAGTAATCTGCCCTTTTTAGATCCCAACCTTCAGGCTGCCGTCTCTCCTTTTTCTTTTGTTCCAGTTTTCCTCGCCTGGCCACCCTCCTTTACCTCCCTCCTCTGCTCTGCTGCCATAGCTACTCCATTACATCACCATTCATTTTCCTGTAAAGATAATAAAATTACTATCTACAGTGTATTAGTGCAGATCCTTCCTCCCCTCAGATACATTAGACTGCTGCTGTCGCCATTTCGCCCACAAGATGATGGTCGCTTAGCATCCTGTTATACACACAGACCACAGGGAATCACTGAGGCCTGAATAAACACCCGGTTGTTTGTGGGCCATTAGGACAGTGTGTGTGTGTTTTTCATGTTTTTATATCCCGGACTTAAACCTGAATGCACACAAACCGATTGGGACTCGTGTTACCTTGAGGACAAAAACTCAGGTCCCCATAGATAGAGACTCCTTTTTGACAGTAAAGGGTTTTTAGGTGAGGTTAGACATGTAGTTGGTTAATGGTAGGTTATTGTCAATATGATGTCCCCACAGAAATAGAGGAATGTGTGTGTGTGTGTGTGTTTGTGAGAGACAGTACCTTTCGTCTTTTGTTCCAGCTGCCGTACACAGTACATCTTGTAGACTTTTCTCCTGGATCTCAGGAGCCAAAATGACCTACAAACACACTCTCTGTTACCAAGTCCATTTTTTTTGCCTTACAGCAATCACTTATTATTTCCTGTAGTCTTTCTTCCCAGTGCGCACTACCTGTATCTACCTTGGGATAACACTGGCAGACGCTCCACACAGTCCCGACACACACCATGGTGACACCCAGAACACATAGTGTGCCGTAGATGTGCGGTTGCTCCTGAGTCATGATGAAGAGGCCGACTGCTGCCACACACAGCCCCGCCGTTATCAGCCCGTACCGGTATGGCTTCCCCTCTACCATCGCTGAACCTCTGCTGGCTAATGAAGTTCTTATTTGTGTAAACCTACGGAAATATTTGGAGTTGTTCTGTGTCAGGCCTTGAAGGTGAGGGTGGAGAAAGCTCTGTTAGGGTTCCACTCTGCTGGTTATTACAGCCTGCAGACAGCATGGTCAGGTCAGGTATAAAATTGCAGCTGCGTGTGTGTACCACCTGATAGGTCACCTTGCCTCAGGCTGCTGGCAAAAAGGAGACTCACAACTGAGCTTCTGATCAGAGCTGAGTGTTTATGTTTGCTTGGCTTGGACATGATTTTATATAAGTCGATGTTTCTCATCTCCGGGACTCTCAAGGGGTTTCCCGCCTTTAAATAAACAATCCATTATTTTTAACTGCGACCCACAGAGAGCTCTGTAGCTATTCATCAACTCAAGTTTATAGTAACATCACAACACAGAATTAACAATGCACATTCTGCAAACACGGGATACAATGCTTAAAGATAAACAACACTACTGTTGACATGCTAGTGTCACTGGTTAAGGCACTTTAGATTGGGGTAAGCTGTCAATGAATCTAAATGTATAACATGAAAGAGTGCAGATACAAAGAGAAGCTGTGTACCTGTGAGACAAGTTCTGGAAAAGAGTGTCATTCAGCCACAGTAGTAGGTCACATACATTCAAGCAGGCCAATAAAATATCCTGAATAAGTGTCTACAGGAGGCTTGCAGCCAAGCTGTTGACATGAATCCCTCAGCTTCGTTGTGAAAGTTACATAACGATGGTCCTTAGTGCACAAATTGAAGCTGTTGTAGTGATCATTTCAATTCCACACACTTTTAGTAGACACAGAGGCCGCACTGGGGCTCACTCTGTACAAATATGAAGTCTTTAACCAGCTGCAGTCTCTTCCTGTTTCCTGGCTTGTGTTTGGGTTCACGGCAGCTGTCTTGAGGCACAGAAGAGGCCCCTTGGAGCGAGTTCATTGCTAGCACCGACTGTTCATTCAGGGTTCTCACTGAGAACCGAAGACAAAAGGCAATGACACAAAATGTATGTCCACCAGGGTGAGAGGTTAAAGCTGCTCACTGTGCTCCTGGCTCTTCATCACTGTGTCATAGGATGGAGGCGGCTCCATAGTCCAGGGTGGTGGGGTGGATGGGAGGGGGGGTTCAGGCTCCGGTCTCCTGCTGACAGAGTCCTCGGACATCTCACGACGAATTCGGTCCAACCTCCTGAAGAGAGAGGGAGTAAGAGAGGGCAATGAGCAGTGTACATTTGCAGTACTTACACTTCAACTGAAACTTCCAGTCCTTTCAGTGTTTACACTGCATCTAGCACTACAACTTCTATCACTGCTTACACTCTTTCAGTCATTACACTGTCTGACACTTCAGCACCTTTTAGTTTATTTTAGTTTTAGTTAGATATCACCTAACACTTCAACTCCTTTCAGCAACCACACTTGATAGCAATGATAGCAAACTCATTTCAGTGATTCAACTTTCACATCAACTTATTTCAGTAGCAACAATTCAGCTGACAGTCAACTTCTTCCACAACCACACTTGATCTTACACCCCAACTCCTTTCAGGACTTGCACTTCAACTGATATTTAACTCCTGTTAGTGATTACTTTTCACCTAAAACATCAACTCCTCTCAACCTCAACTCCTCCTTAGTTCTTATACTTCAAATCATTTAACTCAATACTCATTTCTTTCCACCTTCCATTATTTCTGAACACTCTTACTTTTCCTACAGTTCGTACTCCTTCAGCTGCTTCTTAACTATTAGTTTTTTCCAGTAATGCCGTTCAGGTCCCAGCATTCACACCACATTTCTGTCAGGAAATTACTTCTGTTGTTATTGTTCCCCTGTGCTGACTTTATATCATTACTGTCTAATCTCGCAAACAAACATTTTTATTGCACACAGTCTGCATCAGTTCAGGTTTAGAAATACTGATCAGTCTGAGTTTTGTCAGTGTTGGGAGGTTGAAAAATGATCAAGGTAGTTTATTTTTCATGATACACAAGGTTGTATAATGAAAATAAAGTTTGTAGTCCCTTCAATGCTACACACACAGAACTTAACACATATATCTACATTAAAATATTGTAACATATAAAATAAATACAATAAAACAGTATATACAGTTATTATATACATTTAAAGCTTTATACACGTATACACCCAGAACACAATAAAAACTGACATTTGGGAAACAGTGTCCACTTTGACACCCAGCATCATCGATGTAAAACACAGAGTCCGCCTCTTCTCATCTGGACAGAGTCTTGCGCTCTGTCGGCTTGGAACAGGATCCGCCTACCGAGTGCTTGATCCGGGATGTTGATAAACAGGTCTCTGTAATGACATGGGTACAACAGTCTCTGATTTCCGTTGCTTGGCCAAACTGAGTCCAATTTTGTCCAGGCCAGACCTTTAGGAGCAGCCTTAACACCAGCATGGTTCCTATCGCGGCACTCCTTCCTCTCCTCTGGGCGATCACCGCACCTGCTGTGGCCCCTGGTCCGGTTGATCTGGCTGGGTGGATCGTGGTCCGCTGCACTTTCATCCAAACCCCGGCTTCCTTCTCTAGTGACTGTATTTCTGTCATAACACGTGTTTCGACAATAAAGCCAGAAAAACCAGATGAAAAACAAAAGTTTAGCAAAGTTTGAAGGAGCTACCGGCCACTGCTTCTACAAACGCCGCCGTTGCCAGCTGATGATGATGACTATGTGGATACTGTGCTCCTGGCGTCTCTTTTCCTCAGTGCTGGACAATGAGCAGAGCACATCTTGTTTAAATCTGCAGGTAGATTACCTCAGACAATGTCAGGAACAGTCTGGCAGCCACATGCATGCACGTCTGCTGTTTCCTCCATGACCTACTTCTGTAATCAAGGCCATAATAACAAAATCTGTTGCCTTCCAATTCTCAGTGTCAGTGTTTTTAAGTTCCTTATGTGCTTTCCTGCTCTTTGCCAAACTGTTCATTATAACTAATATGTGGTGATGTGTCCAAGGGATCTGTTCAACAAGAAGACCATTTGTCAGCACATCTCTTGCTTCAGCGCCTTTATGTTTATTACTTTCCTCGAGCTGCCGGCAATGCCTCTTTCACTCAGCCCGCAGTGCCAGTAACCTGACTGTAAAAAACACTTATTAATGTTATGGCTATTTACGTATAGCACCGCACAGGAAAAGCGCAGAAAAAAGACAACTGTCCACCTGGATGTCATGTTTCCATCACTGCCAATCGGAACTGTCGCCGATAAATACCTGTGAGTCATATGACCTGGGAATGATTATGCCAATTGTACCCTTTCCCACTGAAGACAAAAGACAGATGTTAGAGGGGTTTCTGCCGAGTGTGAAAGGGGCTTCTGTCTGTTCTGTCTCTGTGCCTGGGGTTTCCAACCTTTTTAGTCATGGCTCTAGGAATGGCAATATCCGTTGGTCAGTCAGTGGGTCACTTTCAAATCCTTTTGGAAAGAAATATGTCAACACACTCTTGGATATATATCCATGTAATTTGATATGGTTCCCCGAGGATGAATCCTACTGACTTTGGTGATCCCTCCAACCTTTCTTCTAGCACCACAAGATTGACTTTGCATGTAATATCTTGACAAATTATGGATGGATTACTACAAAATTTGGTACACACATTAATGAATATTGTAGGCTGATATCTGTTGTGATCCATTCATTTAATATTTAGAACATCATCAGATCAAACTTTATCTTTGTCTAATCGGTTGGCTTATGATCAAATACACGAATAGCCTATATAGTGACACTCCCATCACACTTGGCTGTTATTTATGTTTAGTGCTATTTAGCTAATTTGAGCATGCTAACACGAATGTCTAAGATCATAAACATACCTGCTGAACATTAGCATGTTAGCATTGTGGACAGGTTTACACGCTGAATTAGCATTCAGCTCAAAGTATCAGTGCCTTACCTGACGGAGCTGCTGGCACAGCTGTAGACTCTTAGTCTTGTTAGCTTGTGAGCCCCAAAATGCTTTGTCACATGTTGCAAGTACTTCTACTTTGAATATTTTGTAGGCTACTTTACTGTGAAACTAATCAGTATAATGAGAAAAAAGCAAAAATTCTGTCTTATCCCCTACCCTATCCTGCTGATCCCACTAAGGGGTCCCGACTCCTGGTTGGGGAACACTACTCCACCATACATTTTGTGGGAAAACTAAAGAACCAAAAACAAAAATCTGCATCTAAAGAATTGGTGCTATTTAGGCTACCCCTTCCTTCTGTCACACAGGCTTTGTGCATGTTCCTCTGTACATGTGTACCTTTGTATAGCCAGGGCCTGCTGTGGGCTGAAGCGTGTGCCTGTGCGGGGGTGCAGGAGGAAGTGTCCTGGCACTGCCACCTGGAGATTCTTCATGGCCAAGCAGATTCCACTGACCAGCAGACCCAAGCCCACCAGGCCCAGGAACAGCCCGACTACAAAAGGCCCTACGCACACGGCCAAGACCCCCCCAGCAGTCATCAGGAGTATACCCAGACAGAGCAGCATGCCCTGGGGGAGCGGCATCTCCGGAGCCCCTTGCCTTTAACTCCAGCCACGGGTGCACCTCTGCTTCAGGAGCAGCCGGTCTGCAGTAGAGAGAAGAGAGGGCTCAGATGCATAGTATCCACCACTGCAACTGTGCGTGTGGGTGTGTGATTGGTGGAGAGGTAGATAGAGGAAGAGGATTTAAACCTGACTTCAGGGGAAACGGGATACATGCAACACGTAAATCATCTCCGCACTGTGCGGGTTGATGTAAACATCGATCCTCTCTCTACCTGATAGTAAGTCGCGGTGTGGAGCTGTTGAGCAGATGCATGGGATGAAAGCTTAACCATCTCTTCTCTCCTCTTCATCAACTTTCACTCCGCTCATGATGCCTGTATGTCGTGCCCTCCCTCCCGAGCCCTGAGAAACTCTGGGAAAAAACAGTGTCTCCTCTCTGGTCCGTATATCGTGCGACCCCGCCGCGCCTCTCATGATGTGCTCCTCTGCTGCTTCGACTTTTCTCCCCGCAGAAGAAACATATCCGGGTTTTTTGGAGTGACGGCACCGAAAAATGTAGGATAGGAGTTAACCGGGTACTGTTCGGT